CCACGGCCGCACGCTCACTCCTCCTCCCAGTGGGACGGGGAGGAGAAAATACAAGGAAAGGCTGGTGGGTCAATACAAGGACAGGGAGGGGTCACTCGCCAGTTACAGTTTCAGCCAACTGCTCCGGCATGGGGTTCTCCCTGGGCTGCAGGGAGGTCTCTACTCCCCTGTGACCCTCCATGTCTGCAGGGCACAGCCTGCCCTCTCACCATGGGCTGCAGGGAACCTCTGCTCTGGGCACCTCCTCCTGCACTGACCTGGGGGTCTGCCTGCCTGTCTCCCAGGTCCCTCTCCTCTGTGGGTTCCACAGCAGGGGTTTTTTCCCTCCTAAGTATGTTATCCCAGAGGTGCTACCACTGTTGCTGATTGCCTCGGTCCAACCTGGAGCCAGGGAAGCTTCTAGCAGCCACTCCCGTAGCCCCACACCCCCCACTACCATAACCCAGCCACACAAACCCAATGCAGTCCCCGTGGAAGAGTCCAGGTCCCTCTCCTCTGTGGGTTCCACAGCAGGGGTTTTTTCCCTCCTAAGTATGTTATCCCAGAGGTGCTACCACTGTTGCTGATTGCCTCGGTCCAACCTGGAGCCAGGGAAGCTTCTAGCAGCCACTCCCGTAGCCCCACACCCCCCACTACCATAACCCAGCCACACAAACCCAATGCAGTCCCCGTGGAAGAGTTATTCAGCAGCATCTTGCCAGCCACTAGCCCACCCCAGCTTGTAGCAGAGGAATCGGATCCAAGTCCTGACCGCTCACCTGCTGCTTTTCCCTCTTCCCCCATGCCTGTTCCTGTGGGTACGGGACTCCAGCTGTTCAAAGAGGAGCTCTCCCCAATGAAGGATGGGGTGAAAGTGGTCAATGATCTCGCACACCAGCTTGCCATCTCAGATGTCCACCTCTCCATGGACAACTCCCGTACCCTGGAGCAGATCAACACCCGCTGGAAGCAGCTGCAGGTGGGAAGGAGTCAGGACCAAGCACTGCAAATCAACCACAGGGGCAGGGATGCTGGGGAAGGGCTGTCACTGCTGAGCTTCAGGGACAGTAAGGAGAGGCTTGGCATAGCAGGGGTGGTATAGCCAGGGTTCTGGAGGAGGAGAGCATCCACTCAGTGTGAGGAAAGTGGCTGGTAAATGCGTAGAGGTCTTGAGCAGGAAAAGGCAATGGGAGGAGCAAAGGATGCTCTCTCAGGAGAATCAGGATCTGTTGAGGTGGTCTGTAGTGGCTGTGGTTTTACTGATGTCTCTGAAAATATGGATACAGGTGAGCTGGGGATGCATCAGCCTGTGGGAGGAGGTGTAGGGGGCTGAGCGGGCTGGCGAATGCAAGCACCAAGACAGGCGAGGAAGGAAGAGGGCCTGCATGCTGGGGCATGTCTAAGTCCATCCACAAACCTTCCTGAATGTGACTTCAATCTGAAATGCCTGATAGGCTGCCACTGAATTCCTCTATCCCATTTTCCAGGCCTCCATAAACGAACGCCTGAAGCAGCTCCAAGATGCCCACCGGGACTTTGGACCAGGCTCCCAGCACTTCCTTTCCTGTATGTGAGCAGGTCCTCTTGGCTTCCCTCCGAGGCTGCCTCTGCAGAGTGGCTTAGCATGGGCTGTGGCACAGGAAAATGGGGCGCAGAGTCCTTTTGCAGAGCCCAGAGCCATGCTTGCAGCTAGAAAAGGGCCCAGGCCAGTGCCTGGTGGGTGCACAGGGACCAGAGCAGGAGGCATCTCCCAAAGTTAGCGTTGTGCTACCTCACCTCATGGGACCAAGGGTGGGACATGAGTATTCCCACAGAGCTGTGACACCCACAGCAGCTTCCAGGTGATGCTGGGACTGTGCCAGCCTCAGAGATTGGGTGAGCAAGACAACAGATGGCAGAAAAAGGCAGTCCCCCATATCCCGCGTTAGTCATTCGGAGGCCAAAAATGCGCACGTTAAGGAGGTTTTCACTCACGTGGCGAGGCAGAGGGATGCTGTTCCTACAGAGCTGAGCTGCTGTGAGCTGACAGCTCTCAGACCTGCAAAGAGTGGGCTCTAGAGTCTGAGGTCCATCCTCGGAAATGCTGAGGTCTCCAGATGTCCATGGGGTTTGTTGGCCTGTGTTTCTCTGCAGACCATGTCCTCCTATCTGAAAGGAAGAGTGACTTTTCCAGCTCCGTGAATTGATAAGCTGCCTGTGACAAGGGAAAATAGCTGAGGGTCATAAAAGGGCTTTCATCCTCCAGATAACAAACGTAGGGTGGCAGGCAACTGGTATGGGATGTATCCTCATCTTCCTGATATTCTGCAGCTGACACGGAGCACGAGTAATGGAAACAGCAGATGCTCTGTGTGTCTATGCCTGGCCATAACAGGCAGTGCCCTGGTGTGCCCAAATCCCAGCTGCTACGAGCCCTGTCTGCTGGTAACCACAGCATTGCCTTGGGCATCATCAAAAGCATCAGGAAGTGTCTCTTCTGAGTTCTGAGCTCAGCCAGATTCAGAGTCTCTGTCTCAAGTGGGGTGAGACGCCTCTAACAAGACCAGCAGTCTTGTGCCTCTCTCACAGGCAGCATCCGGTTGCTCGCCCCACCACCCCCAGCTGGTGATTTGGGGAGGGAGGCACAGCCTCTTCAGAGGCACCCACCAGCTGGCACATTCTGGGCTCTCATCAGAAACAGCACCAACCTAAGGGAGCGTTTGGTGTTGATCCGACATCTCTCTCCTTGCAGCCTCTGTCCAAGTCCCCTGGGAGCGAGCCATTTCCCCCAACAAAGTGCCATACTACATCAAGTGAGTGTGCTCCCAACCACAGCCCGTGGTCTTCTCTGGCCCCGTGGGAATGGGGATAAGGGTCTAATCAGGAGCGGGGGGCAGACGGGGCTGAGCACCCCCCTCCAGGCAGTGTGTGGCCCCGACCTGGCAGAGCCAGGCTGTCCCTGCCTGCCAAGGTGCCCCAGATGAGGGGGGGACATGGGGTGGAAGCAGGCAGGGATAGTTGGGACATCCTCCTGTGGGCATCCTCCATGCTGATGTGGGTGGGGAGGGTGCTCGCTGGGGTCTGCAGGCACTGGGGGACTCCATGGCTGGCCAGGTCCTTTTTTTAATCGCTCATGGCAGCTGCTTAATTCCCACCTTGACTCTTGGTTTCCATATTCCTTCCAGCCACCAGGCCCAGACAACCTGCTGGGACCACCCGAAGATGATGGAGTTGTACCAGACGCTGGGTAAGGAGGCTGCCACAAAACCACTGGAGCAGCACGTGACTTTGTGCAGGGTGGGCTGCTCTGTGAGATCCCCCCAGCCCACCGCCACCCCTCTGTGGCACAGGGACCCCCAGAGCAATGGGATGTGACCCCCTGCCAGGCTCTTCCCTTCCTCCTCCCGCACTCACTCTGCTTCTGCCTGTGGGTCTGATGTCTGGGGACTGCAGCGGCTGCTTCCTGCCCTGGAGATAAGGAGGTTGGGCTGCACTTTTACTCTTCTTTTCCTGTGTCATTGCAGCGGATTTGAACAACATCAAGTTCTCAGCGTATCGGACAGCAATGAAACTGCGACGGGTGCAAAAAGCGCTGCGATGTGAGTGTGGGAAGTGTTGCCCTCCTGCTGGGTCTCTCTCGATAAGGGTGTTCGACAGAAGCTTTTATCAGCACATGAAAGGCAGGAGCCCACCGGGACCGGTAGCTGAGGAGAGGGCTAGGAAGATGAGCCTGTGGAATGCTGAGCAAATCCACTTGCGAGGTGTCCGTGTCGGCGCCTTTATTCTCAGGCTTAGGGTGGAAATGATGCTAGGGCAGGGGTTAGTCAAAGGGATTTGAGAACAAAGTGGTCCAGCTCAGAGTTACAAAGCTGTGGGATCAGGCAGAGGCTCACACAGCAGCTCCAAGAGAACCTGGATAAGACATGGATGTAATTGAGAGCAGAAACCAGCCTTGCAGAGAGGGCTCCACTGCTGGAAGAGAAGGAAGGGAGCCATAAACCTGACTGCTGCACTGTTGGTAAAACTCCAGTTAAATGAGGATTAACAGCCAGGTGAATGTCTTGGGTCCCACACTTGGGCCACAACAACCCCCTGCAACACTCCAGGCTTGGGGATGAGGGGCTGGAAAGCTGCCCAGTGGGAAAGGACCTGGGGGTGCTGTTGACAGCGGCTGAATATGAGCCGGCAGCGTGCCCAGGTGGCCAACCTGGCCTGTATCAGGAAGGAGGACCAGGGCAGGGAGCATTCCCCTGTACTGGGGACTGGGTGAGGCCACACCTTGAATCCTGGGTTCAGTTTTGGGCCCCTCACTGCAAGACAGACATTGAGGTGCTGGAGCGTGTCCAGAGGAGGGAACGGAGCTGTGGAAGGGTCTGGAGCACAAGTCCTGTGAGGAGCAGCTGAGGGAGCTGGGGGTGTTCAGCCTGGAGAAGAGGAGGCTCAGGGAAGACCTCATCGCCCTGTATAACGTGTGGACGAGGTGCTCAGGGACATGGTTTAGCGGTGGCATGAGCAGTGTTGGGTTAGTGGTTGGACTTGATGACCTTAAAGGTCTTTTCCAACCTAAATGATTGTATGGTTCTATATATGCGATGTGACAGGAGCTCAACACAATGCATATCTCTCGGAGGGGCAGCTGCTCCTAGGAAATTGCTGAGGAGTTTCCAAGGGAATTGGCGAGCAAGCGGATAGGAATCTGATAGATGCAGCATCCTTGGCTGCTGGAGAGCTTTTGGCAAGGCCTCTTACCTAAGGCTCTGTCGTAATTAGACAGCTGCGGGATGAGGAAAACCCTGTCCTTAATTAATCATTCCTGATGGGAAAGAGCCACAGCCAAGCAGCAGTGGGGTCCCTGACAGACGTCTTGTGCTCCTTGACATCTTGTGCTCCTTGATGTCTTGCGAAAGGCCTGGAAGAAGGCAATGAGGGAGGGTGAGAGGAGGTTTGGTACTCAGGGGAGTTGAGCCCTGGCTGCAGAGCAGTTTTGTGGCACTGTGGTGACCCAGCTGTCCCATACCTGGGGACATTCAGGGCTGATGAATTGCAAATGAGGGAAAGCAGCAGTTAGCTTTCACTGCTCTGCAAAGGTGGTGAAAAAACAATGGAGCAGCAGCTGCGAAACACCAGGCATGGTGAGGAGAAGGGCAGACAGCAAAGCTGACTCCTCCTGGGGCCTTCTGCCCAGCCCAGCAATGACGTGGGAGAACATGAGTAAGTGCTTCTTACTCAAGACAAAGAGCAAGGAGGCTGCCCAGGCAGCTTTCCTGTGATGAGAGGTGTGGTGGGGTGAGTGGCCATGTAGGAAAAAGGCAGTGTGGGACATGGCAGAGCTATATGCCGTCATGGGCACCTGCGGCTCCGCACAGAGCCTTTCTGGGTAGAGTTGTCGTGGCCATGGCTGGCCACAGCAAGAAGGAAGGAAGGTCACACAGAATGGTGGCTCAAGTTGACTATAGGTGGAGATGTGGGTATTTTGGGAGGGGTTTATAGGTGGAGATGTGGGTATTTTGGAAGGGGTTTATAGGTGGAATGGCAGTTCTGGGAGTTGTGCCCATCCTGCCAGCATCTTCCCCACCTCACTAAGGCTGAGACTGCTCCAGGTCAGGGCAGGGTTGCATCTCCTTCCTTTTAGTTCTCACCTCTCCCATTTTCCTCCCTGCCTCCGTTCCCTCCGCTTGTGCTTTCTGCGCAGTGGACATGGTGACCCTGGCCACAGCCTTGGAGATCTTCAATGAGCACGACCTGCAGCCCAGTGACCGGGCAATGGACGTGGTGGAGGTCATCCACTGCCTGACTGCCCTCTACGAGCGGCTGGAGGAGGAGCGGGGCATCCTGGTGAACGTGCCACTCTGTGTGGACATGAGCCTGAACTGGCTGCTGAATGTCTTTGACAGGTACCGGTCCCTCAGTGTCCCCCTGAGCTGTGGGGCTGCCACGCTGTACTTCCAGCCGGCAGTGCTGCATAAAGGCCCTGGCCGCTAGCGAGGGGGCTGCCTGGCACGGGCTTGCCTTGCTGACCCCCCTGCTTAAAAAAAACCCTCCAGAACGTTCGCAGACCTATGCAATATCTCACCTTGCAGTGGCCGCAGCGGGAAGATGAGGGCTCTCTCCTTCAAGACGGGCATTGCATGTCTGTGCGGAACAGAGGTCAAGGAGAAGTTTCAGTGTGAGTCCCCCATCTCCCTCCCCCAGGGCCTGGTGGGGAGTAACCTGGGGAAAGTGGGAGCGCTTTTGTGCCCTGTCTTAGCCCTTCTTTGTGCAGAAAGAGCAGAGAAACAGGTTTCCTGCAGTCACCAATCTGCTAGCATTGCCACTTTTCCCTCTCTCCCCAAGCCTACGCTGCGCCAGCTGGGAGGCATTTTTGCACACTGACTGGTGCCACGCTGATCTTGCTTGCATGGCACTATAATGAACAGCACAGAGAAGGCAAACAGGCGACAGTTATCCAGTGCTTCCCAGGAGGAAAAAAACCTGGGGGTGCATGGCTGGGAAGCAGCTTTCAGACAAATTAAAGGAAGACCCTCTCCGTGCTGCATTTTAACTACAGTACCCTCTGCCATGGGACACTGCAGAGGGGTTAGCACAGGAAGCGCCAAGGGGGTTAATAAAGGGATTGGGCACATTCCCTGAGGCCAGGCTGGCTGTGAAAGAAGTAAGTAACCTCTGTCTCAAGAAGACTCTAAACTCCTGGTCGCAGGGAGCTGGAAGGATATTGGTGAAGTATTTTATCATGGCTCAGTTTTCCCCTTATTTGAGCTCCCCACCAGAGACAGGCAGCAGGGCACCTGGTCGGATCCCCGTGCTTGCATCCTGCCTGGAGTCAGGGCATCAGCCGTGTCTCCAACGGGGCTGTGTGTCCATCCCGCTGGCAGATCTCTTCAGCCAAGTGGCGAATGCCGGAGGACTGTGTGACCAGCGCCAGCTTGGCATCTTGCTCCATGAGGCCATCCAGGTCCCACGCCAGCTGGGGGAGGTGGCGGCGTTCGGGGGCAGCAACGTGGAGCCCAGCATCCGCAGCTGCTTCCGCTTTGTGAGTAGGGTGCTGTGGCCCGTGCCATCCCCCCTGCTGCAGCCGTGCTGGGGAGATGCTCCCAGAGGTGGCAAGGAGCTTACACCCCATCACAGCCAGGTCCTAGCTCTGAGCAGCTCCTTCCTCTCCCTACCGCAGAGCAACGGGAAGCCGGCCATCGAGGCATCCCAGTTCCTGGAGTGGGCCAACCTGGAGCCGCAGTCCATGGTGTGGCTGGCTGTGCTGCACCGGGTGACCATGGCTGAGCAGGTGAAGCACCAGACCAAGTGCTCTGTCTGCCGGCAGTGCCCCATCAAAGGCTTCAGGTAGGGGTTGCGATACGGGACCTTGGCCCCCAAGGGAAGTGCATGGGGTCCTGCAGGAGGGAACTAAATTTGATCTGTGCTGTGGGGGGAACCTGCAGTAGCAGTTGTTCGGGCAGGTCAGAGCAGAGGCCAGCGGAGGGGAAGAGCAGGATGCTTTTCAGAAAACTTTAGCCATCAGCACTAGGGGTTCAGTGGGGTGTGAGAGCAATGCAGAACACCTCTGTCTGCTGCTGAGCTCTTCTTGGGCTCCAAAATGATGAGGTTCTGTTGACTCTCACTGCCTCCCTATGGCCTCTTGATCCCTCCAGGTACCGGAGCCTGAAGCAGTTCAATGTGGATATTTGCCAGACTTGCTTCCTCACAGGGCGAGCCAGCAAGGGCAACAAGCTGCACTACCCCATCATGGAGTACTACACCCCGGTACGGAGCTGGGCGGGGAGAGTCTCGGCTCACAGCAGGTCTCCATCGAGGCAGCAGCCTTGTGATGTGATGGTGCAGCCCCAGAGGGGGATCCCTTTTGTGTTTGTGTTCCCCTCCACATGTTGGAGGTTGCCCGTGTCCTTGCTGTTCTGGGGCAAGTGGTGAGTGGGATGCATGGCATCCACTGATGCCCAGCTTGGCCTGTGCCAGGTCCCGCGACAGGCTGACAGAGCTGCCGTGTGTCCTCCTTGCTCCCTCAGTTGTGTCTGCCCCTGTGGAGCTTGTTCCCAGCCTGAAGGGACCTCTTTCCTGTGGATGCTGCCCTGTGGTCCCCCACTTTTTATTAAGCAACACCCTGGTGTTTGTGTCTCTGCAGACCACGTCCAGTGAGAACATGAGAGACTTCGCCACGACGCTGAAGAACAAGTTTCGGTCCAAGCAGTACTTCAGCAAGCACCCGCAGAGAGGTTACCTGCCCGTCCAGTCTGTGCTCGAGGCTGACTTCTCCGAGACGTGAGTTGGTGGTGTGGTTTAGACCCAGATGACAACTCAGCACCACACAGCCGCTTGCTCACTCCTTCCCCCATTGGGATGGGGAGGAGAAAATACAAGGAAAGGCTGGTGGGTCGAGACAAGGACAGGGAGGGGTCACTCGCCAATTACAGTTTCAGCCAACTGCTCCGGCATGGGGTACTCCCTGGGCTACAGGGGGGGTCTCTGCTCCCCGTGACCCTCCGTGTCTGCAGGGCACAGCCTGCCCTCTCACCATGGGCTGCAGGGAACCTCTGCTCTGGGCACCTCCTCCTGCACTGACCTGGGGGTCTGCCTGCATGTCTCCCACATCCCACTCCTCTCTCCTCCTTCTCCGCTTCCACTACTGGTTCTCTTTTTGTTTCCTGCTCTTAAATATGTCAATCACAGAGACAGTGACTGGCTTGTTGTGGCCAGAAGTGGGTCCGACTTGGAGCTGTGGGATCTTCTAGCAGCTTCTTACAAGAGCCACCCCTCTGCCACTCCCACTACCAACCCCCGCCAGCCCCCGCCAACCCAACACGGTTGGCTGGGCCCAGGCAGTGCCTTTTGACCCTGCCTGATACGTGGGCTCCATGGGTGGAAGCAGCATCTCAGCTGCGAGACAGGGCTCCTGTGGGAGGGCTGGGGGAGGAGGGGGCACTTGCTCTGGGGGTGCAAAGTCCTTGGAGGAGCAGAGATTTCGGTCTCCCTCTCTAGCCTGTCCCTGGCTCTTCTCATCGCAGGTGAGAGCAGGGCAGCCCCTCCAAGCCCTAGCTTTGAGCAAGGACTGCCAAGCCTTGCTGACCAGTGTGTGTGTGTTTCTTCCAGACCAGCCTCCTCCCCGATGTTACCGCATGCCGACACCCACTCCCGGATTGAGCACTTTGCCAGCAGGTATCACCAGTGGGCACTGCCATCACGCCAGGGCAAGGAGTGTGACTCCCATGGGTGTTGCGGGGTTTCGGGGCAGTCGTGTGGGGAGCTCCTGCTGCCCACAGCCCCCTCCGCACGTCCCAGCGTGCTGCCTGCGGGCAGAGGGTGGCTGCGGCAGGTGCCCTTGGGAAGAGCCAGCTGCAGAGCCAGGCAAACCTGCCTCCACCACTCTGCTCCTGCCTGGGACACGGCTGATGCCATGAAAACTGGCAGCAAACACCATGCGTTTGACAGCAGATGCCTTAGTGGTGCAGGAGCCTCCATGTACCCTCCTGCTCTTCCCGGTATAAGCTGCTGGTTGGATTGTCAACAGGCAGATGGATCCTTGTGTCTGTGCACTCACCAGTGCTGCTTGCACGCTTCCCATGGCTGCTGCCCCGTGGTCTGTAAGGCCTCTGCCCTCCCCGCGGGTGCAGGCACAGGGGACCCCAGGAGCACAGGGAGCCTGGAGCTCAGGCTGAGCCAGTGGTGTGGCAGCAGCCCCGTTATTCCAAAGGCTCTCACCCCAGAGCAGCAGTGTCTTTTGTTTTCTAAAAAGGCAAAACTCTCTGGAGTCCATCAAGAGGCGCAGCCTGGTGCAGGCCAGCTGTGAGACCCTGCTACAGAGCGGTCTTGCAGGGGCTGCCAGAACTAGGGTGCACTGAGCAGACACCCAGGGTGTCTCTGACTGTATCTCAATTTGTCTCTCTTCCCTCCAGGCTCGCAGAGATGGAAAGCCAGAACTGTTCCTTCTTCAATGACAGCCTGTCCCCTGATGATAGCCTGTGAGTTCTGCCTCCCTTCCCTCCTCCTCACCTCCTGCTCAGTCAGGGCTCCGGTGGCTCCATCCCTGCCTAGCCAGGGCACAGAAATGCTTTCCTTCCCAGCATCTTTGAGTCTGAGGCTCTTGGGCACCCCTGGCTATCCAGGGGTGCTCAGCCAATTTGAACTCTAGACCTGGAGCAGCCCGAACCAGCTCCCATATGAAACCACCTCCTTCCAGGCTGTCCTTCCCCAAGGACACAAATTCTGTGAGACTGATGTTCCTCACTAAGGTGTTTCTCCACCCGCTGCAACAGGGATGAGGACCAGTACCTCCTACGCCATTCCAGCCCCATCACCGACAGAGAGCCTGGGGGCAGCCAGCAGGTTCCGGGAAGCCTCAACATGGATGACAAGGGAGAGCTGGAGCGAATCCTGGCCCACTTAGAGGATGAAAACAGGTAGGGGCATAGGCAACTCTGAAAGTAGGGTTTATAGCCTAAGGGGAAGGGGCTGGAGAAGCCTGGCAGAGCTCAGCGTGGAGCCAGGGGAGAGCTGATGGGGATCGGAGGAGCTGAGTGGTCTGGTTTAGAAGGTGTCTGGGCTGAGCCCTAAAACCTTTATGGGAGCACTCTCCAAGGAAGGGAGAAGACCCTGTTCCCCCATCCCCAGAACCTGTTCCCTCCCTGAACCCCAAGCTGGTTGAAGTGAGCCCAGGGCACTGCTGTCTCTCTTGTCCCTCAGCCCCCCACAAACAGTGGCAGTGCTGCTCTGGGCCAGGGCAGCTCAGGAGGTGGTACTTTCCCTGCCCTTCTTCTCAGCCTCTTAGGGACGCAGTTTCACGTCTTTTTGTAACCTGCCTGAGTGGGGTAGATGCAGGCAAGACACCCTGTGATGCAGGGACACATCAAGGAGCTTTGGTCCTCAAGCTGCACACGTGGCAAAGCCTCCAGGGGCGTTTTGTCTCTGAGCGATGGGCTGTCCCCGCTGCGAAGCTGTCAGCGTTTCCAGCAGTCTCTGGAAAGGAGGGCAGCACCACTGACCTAGGCATCCTTTCAGGATCCTCCAGGGAGAGCTGAGACGTTTGAAATGGCAGCACGATGAGGCGGTGGAGTCTCCAACCTTAGCTACAAGCTCCCCTGAATCATTGCAAGACCCATGTAACGATGAGCTCCTGGCAGAAGCACGAATCCTCCGGCAGCACAAGAGCCGCCTGGAGACCCGCATGCAGATCCTGGAGGACCACAACAAGCAGCTGGAGTCCCAGCTGCACAGGCTGAGGGAGCTGCTGCTTCAGGTACTCTGAGCAAAGGTCTGGGGAAAGCCCATCCTTGGGGTGGGCTTTGCCGTATCACCTGGGGCAGTGGCAGAAAGGGATGGTCAGTTGGGGGAGAACAAGGACAGAGGATGGAGAAAACCCCCTTTCTCTCCATAGCCTCCAACAGAGTCAGATGGCAATGGTTCAGCAAAAAAAACTCCTCATCAGTCTGAAGGCAGCCAGGCGAAGAAGAAACAGCACAACACCCCTGACACCGAGGCTGCAGGTGAGGATTGGGATTCGGCTGAGCTCTTGGCCCCACTCCCTTGGTTCAGAGCTGCAGGGAGCTGCCTGCGCCCTGCCATCCCGCCGAGATGCTGGCTGGCAGGGCAGATGTCCTGACACCCTGCTCACACACTCCTCATCAGTCTGAAGGCAGCCAGGCGAAGAAGAAACAGCACAACACCCCTGACACCGAGGCTGCAGGTGAGGATTGGGATTCGGCTGAGCTCTTGGCCCCACTCCCTTGGTTCAGAGCTGCAGGGAGCTGCCTGCGCCCTGCCATCCCGCCGAGATGCTGGCTGGCAGGGCAGATGTCCTGACACCCTGCTCACACACTCCACCCCCCCTACCCTCTTTCCTGCTGCAGAGGAGGTGGAAGCCAAAACCCAGGAAGTCAGCATGTGTCTGGAGGACATCATGGAGAAGCTGCGGAGCGCCTTCCCCAACTCTCGAGGTACTCGAATGAAATCCTCCTCTCTGGCCTCTTACTGCTCCCTCAGATGAGGTTTTCCCCACAGAGCCCTGCCCCGATCCCAGCTTCCCTGCGACGGCTGATGCCCGGCAGCACCTACAGCCGAGAGCTCTGCTGCCACAGCGCTGCTGGGACCGGGGGGTGGCCGGGGTGCAGCGAGGATGAGCAGGAGGTTTCACACATGCGAGGAGAGGTGGTCAGAGCTGCCAAGAGTATGGACTGAGTAGATCCCCCCTTATGAACTGCAAGGCATCCTCCTGCCCTGCTCGGAACCCCGCACCCTATGGGGATCCCCACCGCAAAGACGGACAGACCTGACAGCATCGAATATTGCAGCGATCACCTTGAGCCACCTCCTGGCTTCATCCCTGTCCAGACCCTTATCCAGGAGAGTTCGATGTCCCAGTCACCTGGCGAGATGGAAGCAGTGGTGCAAGTTCGCCTACATGCTCGTGGATGGCTCTTCCCAGCAGGGACAGGGACTGGGGGATGTGTGTGTGGATGGCACTCTGCTCATCCAGGTCTTTCTGGCGTCCCTCTGTGCTCCAGCCTGGGAGCAGCACTCAGTCCCTCACCCATGCATGTGCCAGGGGGAGACTTTGCTTGGTGCCAGCACTAACATGATGCAGGGAAGAGCTTCCCTCTCTGCCTATGCGGACCCTCACCCACTTTCCGCCATCCCTGAGCAGGATCCTTCTGGCTCTGCAGCAGCTTTGTTCTAACCAGGTGGCTCTGGGTCCTGCTTTCCTGACCTCTCCATTTCTCTTTCAGGTATGACCTCCCTTATCTAACACCTCCTGTAAGCCAGAGGCTTTTCCTAACCAGCTACCTGGCTGCTTTCCTACCCCTCCTCTCCCTGCCATGCTCCCTGTGCTGCGGCAAACCTCACACAGACTCCCTCCGAGTTGGTCGTGCAGGATGCTTGCCAGCTCCAGAAGATCTCAGGGGAACATGGGTCATGCAGGAGCAGGACTGTGGGCTCCCCAGGAGGCTGGCTCGGTCACTTGGCCACAGTGTCCAAGCCAGGGTGGCAAGGTTCAGAAGGAAGAACTGAAGCAGTGAAAGCTGCCTGTCTCCCCTGGTGCCCTGGCTGCAGTCCTCAGGGGATGCAGAGCTCAGCATCCCGCTCCTCTTCAGTGGTACCCAGGGACCTCCAAGGTTTGTGGGCACCAAAATACTCCTGGAGTCGCCCAGTTTTTAAAAGACCTCTTTCTAACAGCATCCAGCTGCCAGCCTTATGGATTGAACTCTCTGCCACCCAGGGCTCCACAGTCAGGCAGGAACATACTGTCTGGTGGGGAGGGTCTGTGAGGTTTATGGGGTAAAGACGAGTCCATGTTAGAGCTTCAGCCCAGCTAGTAGCCTTATCTTAAGAGGGTCTTTATAACAGAGCCTTATCATTTAATTTGCATATATTTCTATATATTATATATATATATTCTGTACTTAAATACTCTCATG